GGGGATCCCCATAGGGCCCCACTGGAATCGAGGCAAATTGTCACCCCTACCGATGGAGGCGATCAACGAATTGAAAAAAATAAAAAATAAAACATTAGAAAGAGAAAGTCATGTATTAAAGTGAGGCAATGATAAATTTGATGAGATAAAAGGAGTGGTAGGGTTGGCCATAGTTCTCAATCTCGTATTGAGTAACCTAGTTTTTAAAGTTAATATTTTAAGATTGCATAAGAGTTGAGATTCTCTCATTTTTTTATTATTTTATTATATCATGTAAAAATTTTATAATAATAAATTCAAGTGAGATTAGATATACATATTAGCAACATTTATTTTTTATCATTAAAATTTTTTTATATGAGTTGTCTAAAAAATTATATTATTATTGGGAAGGGGCCCAACATTCAATCTGGGTCATATACAACAGGCCAGTCGTGCATCCATAAGCCCAAAATAAAGAGACATCCATACATTAATATAGACATATCCACATGAGTAGTAACATGTGGACCAATCGAATGCTACATATAAGCTCATGTCAGCTCATGGGGCTATAAATACCCTCCAACTACCTCCATTCAAGGTATTAACTCCACCACGCTTCTCCCTCTACAATTATTATTTGAGAGCTTCTCTCTCTAGAATATCGAGTATTGCTAATTTGAGCGTCAGAGTGTTTTCTCTGAGGAAACATCTTCGGAATTTTCAGGTGTTGAAATAGTTGAAGATATCTAGAGTGTAAAATTGTGAAGCTGGCCAAACAATTATTAATACAATTTCGATTTTATCTATAAAAAAAATCTGATGAATTTATCCAAAACGAAATCAAAAGCAAAAAGTAAGTCGAATTCTTCCCCCACTCATCACCCTCCACTTTCCTCGTTCAAACTTCAAACTCTATTTGTACACCTCAAACCCTTCTCTGCAACATCTCTTTATTCCCATGGAACACTCCCACTAGAGGTCTGAGACCATTGAAAATGTTCAAACTATATAGTGAGATGAAAGAAAGTTCAATTTTGATTTGAGCTTGAGGCTTGAGGCAGAGATCATGGAGGTAGAGAAGCAAGGGAATGAAGCCCAAACAAGGGTTTTATGGATTAAAGACACCAAATAGGTAAAAGGATTTCTCTTCCGTTTTTATTTTTATTATTTTTTAAAATTTGCTTAAAAATAGGCCGAATACTTGTACCGGACGAAATTTTGCATACCCACTAAGACGACCATCTTGGTTGTGTCAAAATTAGTACCGCCCGGTACCTAACAATGGCAGAAACAGGAGTATGTTAGATTTATGAGTGAGCTAAAAGAAGCACCTTGCTTTTTTTACTAGTACCAACCATGATTCTGCACGACAGCGCCAATATGGTGTCAAATGTCGATGGACAAGGACTAGTAATCCCTGAGGACACCCTCGGCTTCCCACAACAATATACTAACCTATTGCTCTCGTAATTGTGTGTGCTCCATGTTGTTGCACGTGCTATTCATAAAGCTTTATTACTTGTAAAAAGCTGATTTACATGTGGAAGTGAATTGGGGATTTTCCAATAGCTTTAAGTAATGGCAATCCACATCTTACGCCTCCGGCATACACAGGGAATTAAATCAACTTAGAAAAATCAATTAATTACACACTGCAATTTTCTGGATCCAAAATTCAGTATTTACATCCTTGCTGACTTTAGCAGCATCTTCTTGCACTTTATGCAACATGACAACCTCATTTTGAATTCGCCAGACAGCAATCCATACTCGCACCCTACATTGGTTCGTGATAAACTTTCGCTGATTAGACCAATTTATTGGCAATCCATTCAAGCAGAAGCACAGTTCCATATTTCTTTTGGAAAACGACAATTGAAGAACGGATGGGAACATGATTCCTTTGCAGCATGACAAAACTCGTATATATGATCCAGCTGCAATCCACAATGCACCATGTGCATTTTTGTCTTCAGCCTACAGTGCATAAGTGGACAATGACATTATAAAACTTTGCCTTGACAACTGATGACTACCCTACACCAACCTGTGCAATGGCAGCTTGTTCTTCCTCCTCTACAGCTCATAACCAGCTTCAATGGCAATTGTACAACTTCACATCACAGCCATTATCAGCTTATTATTAAAAAAAAAAAAAAAAACACCAAACAACCAAAATGTAGCAGTACAATATTTCACAACACTCTCTATAAAGTGGAAGTTCATCTCTTTTAATAAAATTCTTGCACCAAGGGCTTCAAGCCAGTCCATGCCTTCTAGTGTTTCATTGTGGAAGGGATTTTGGGTTTGAGTTGTCTGTTATATTCGTAGGGGCTAGGGCTGCTAAAGAGATTAGAAAGGGTTGCCTTACATTATCAAACACAAACACAGACAAAAAAAATAAAGAATAAATTGAAAAAAAAAAAAAAGAAAAAAAAAAAAGGCTTACAACCAAGGAGAATTATAAATGGGTGTCACAATGGACTTGACCTGGAAGTACTTATAAAGGGCTTCTAGTCCGAGGTCTCTTTCAAAACCACTCATTTTACACCCTCCATAAGGACAGTCAGCGTCGAATGCAAAATAACAATTGATCCATATAATACCAGCACGGATCGATCTCGAGACGGTATTAGCCACATTTAAGTCCTTGGTCACGATGCCTGCTGCTAGGCCATATCTAGTGTTGTTTGCTCTCGTAATTGCCTCATCAATGGTCCTGAAATTGCCAAGTTCTTCATCAGTTCCATATCAAATACAATGTATTTTGAATGGGAAACTCAATAATGTTTTGCTTACTTGAATGTCATTAATGCCATTACAGGTCCAAAAATTTCATCTTGCGCTATTGGCATGTCCTCCTGTGCAGGCATTTAAGAATAACTGAGTTAAAACCATATATGATTCATAAGCATTTCCTAATTAGAAGTCTTTACCTTGACATCTACAAATATTGTTGGCTCAATATAGAATCCCTTATTGCCCAAAGCTTTGCCTCCTGTCAACAAGGTAGCTCCTGCCCTTTTTCCTTGTTCCTTGTTCAATGTAATACAAGATTTTCTTAAACTACTTCTTATCAACCTACAACAGATGCCAAACAGTTAAATAACCAGCCTGGTGAGATTAGCTTGGTATCTAATTGCCTAAAATATTTGATTCTAGAGTCGATTCATGTTTGCAACTCCAATTCTAGACATGGAAAAAAGGTTAATTGGTTATCCTAGATCTTGACTGAACAAGCTGATGGTCATGACCAGATGCCAGCTTCATCCAATAATTAATACAAAAAACTGTTGTTCAGTCCGGACTGCACTGGACTGCAAAACAGGGTACTCTAATTAATATCACAAGCATGACACTTTATCGGCCTTTCCTTCTAGTTAATAAAAAATGTTAGGTAATGAAGAAGCATATTGGAATCTTCCAGTCTGTACTACCATTAAGCAATCCCCTTTTTAAATGGGGAACTCAATGATCACTTTCAACAGTTAAATAAGACATGGGGCTTGCTTTTTCTCCTTTACGTTTGCCAGTACCAGAGATGGTTTTGATTTTGATGACAGTCCAACAAAGCAGATATGCTTCAAGAACAGACCCCATTTTAAATAATTATGCCACTTAGAGATTTGTTTTAATAGCCACGTAAGCTGATATTTAACAATTTGCAATTTGTAGGTGTTTAAATTTGCTAATTAAACCCAAATTAAGTTTTTAAAGTACTTCATGGTAGGTGTGTGAAGGTTAGAGAGACAATGAAAATTATACATCTGTGTGAATTAATGTAATGGAATATACCAAAAAAGTCAATTGATCACATAAATATAAAGCTACTGGCCAAATAGGATGTTAACCTTTGCAGACCATCATAAAGATATAGACATGGAAAAAATTGTTAGATACCTCAATGGTTGAAATCTACTGGGAGTTATCTACAAATATTAGGCACAAATTAAATTAATTACTGAGGCTCCAAGTCAAAAAAATCAAAGACAAGCAGCATCTATATATATAGATAGATAGATAGATGACGTTAAAGCAATTAATAAAAAATTAAAGGGTGGGTTTAAAATTAGCAGATTTAAACAACTACATTGGAGTTACTTTTTATTTTCCTTTTGTTTGGTTCAGTGTTGTCAATAGCGGCAATATTGGCCACTATAGTGGCATAGCGTAGTGGCTAGCTATGGCTGCTACCACGATCAGCCATGGTGTTGTGGTGGAAGAATAGCAGCCAATTTTTCCGCAATAGCAGCTGCTATTTACATAGCGGATAGCGGCCATTGATATTGAAAAAACTTTGGTTTGGATGGTATGAGAACTAATCAAGTTTATCTCATCATCTGACCCAAAAAGTGTATGTCTCTAAATCTTTTGTGATACTGCTTGAATCACCTACTTCAATTCTAGATATTGAAAAATAACAATAATAAGATTCAACTGCAATCATCTAGGTACTTACTTGGGGTCCTTGACAGACTTTAGGATCAAAAGGGTCCCCAACCACCCATGATTTTGTCTTTTCCACCAACTTCTTTACAAATTCATCATAGATACCTTCCTGAACATAAACCCGTGAACTCGCCACACATATTTCTCCCTGAAGTTATGAAAAAAGTTCAATTAGTAATTTAGTTTCCCTACTATCTAGAGCCAAATCAGAATGGATAAAATTCAAAATCATGCAACCTTGTTATACACAATTCCATTGAGAGCAAGGTCAGTTGCTGCATTTACATCAGCATCATCAAAGATCAAGAGAGGCGATTTGCCTCCTAATTCAAGTGACACTGGTTTTAAATTGCTTGCTGCTGCAGCCTGCATTACTTTGCGCCCGACTTCTGTTGATCCTGTGAAACTCACCTGAAAGACCAGATTATCAGAGCAATAAACCTAAAAGGCAGAAAAAACTAAACAATGTTACTTTGGAAATTGGATAATACTTTATCAATGTCCATATGGGAAGTAATTGCAGCACCAGCTGTCTCTCCGAATCCAGTGACAACATTAAGCACTCCATCAGGTATACCAGCCTGAATAGAAAACAAAGAAGCAAAAACAGGGTCTCATTAAGATAAAGCATGTTAATAACCTTAAGTTATTAAAACAAATTTGGGTTGATTATCCAAAGCTTACCAGTTTAGCAAGATGAGCATAGTAAAGAGATGAAAGAGGAGTTTGCTCGGCAGGCTTGACAACCACCGTGCAGCCTGCAGCTAACGCTGGGCCGAGCTTGATAAAAAGGGTAGGGCTTGGAAAGTTCCACGGAATTATGATGCCCACGACACCAATTGGCTGCCGGAGAGTATAGCCATGAAATTTACCAGACATTTTCAAAACTTCTCCATGAACTTTATCAGCTGCGCCTGCATACTAACCAAGAAGCCTAACAACAGTCGGAATTTCCCTGGCCTTGCATAAAGTAAACAACTTTCCAGCATCAATAGTATCTAGTGCTGCTAATTCTTCTTTATGTTCCTCAATTAAATCTGCAAACTTCATCATGATCCTTCCCCTCTCCTATACCATTAAGAAATTTAACCAAAAAAAAAAAAAAAAGGCTAAACTCAATTGTACATGTAAAAATTATCAACTAAAATAAGCTAAGGAAAAAATATACAAATACATCAAAATTATTTTCCTGATATAGTGAGAAGCAAAAGAAATGCATACAGAACCGGAGAAGCGAGGCCAAGGGCCGTGATCGAAAGCATGGCGGCCGGCTTTCACGGCCAAATTAACGTCCTCTTTATCTCCTTCTGCAACTCTTGCGATTACATCTCCGGTCCTTGGATCAATCGTCTCGAACGTTTTTCCTAAGTGCAAAAACATTTAATTCATTTCAGTGGGAAAAAAAAAAAAAACTGGATTTCATTTCAATGTAAGCAACTACAAAATATGCATCTCATGAGATAACCTGAAACGGAATCGACGAACTCGCCGCTGATAAAGAGCTTGGTAAACTTGATCTCCGGAATTTTGATGAATGCATCGGAGCTTCCACTGCTGTGGCTTGCCATCTTCTCCCCCTCAGCGAAAGTGTATGAGTACGACTAGCTACCCATCCAGACAGCGCGTCTAGTTGTGGCCCTGTGTCTTCAACGAAAGAATAGGTGCTGGAGATTCCCATCGAGTACTAGGCTGTTGGCTTTTTAACTTTTTGCATACTGCAGAGAGTTATCCACTGTTGTTTCGACTAAAGAACTAAATATTTTAAATTTTAAATTATAAATAATAACAAGAAAAAAAATTTCTGAAAAAAATTTCGATTTTTCCCCTTTTTTATTTTTTA